ACAATCCAGCTGTATCTTGAAAACAAGAGAATATTTGGACACTGGTGGGACACCACTTTCCAGCATCAAGGGCAGAACACTGCCTTGGGGTAGTAAGAATGACAGGCCTGTGTTTTCCTACATCATAGTATCCAGACTGTACAATTCGTGGAACAAAGCCACTTGAACTCTGAAAAATTATTGAATACTCAAAGACATATTGACAGTGTTCTCAATGCTACGGCCAATGTGATGGCTCCGTGGATGAAGGTACTTGCCCTCCAACCTTGATGGCCTTAATTCAGACCCTGGGACGCAAATGATGGAAAGAGAGAAGCAACTTCCATAACTTGTCCACTCACCTCCCAGCTCATAAACAGACACACAAGCATCAATAAATACCTGTAATAATGGGGCTGCAGAGATGGCTCTGTGGTGAAGAACACTGACTTGAATTCAAGTCCCAGAACTCACATGGCAGCTAACAATTGTAACTTCAGTTCCAGGGGATCAGATATCCTCCTCTAACCTCCACAGGCATTGCATAACATGGATGCACTTACATACATGCAGGCAATACATTCATGTACATAAAATAAATAATAAAATATATTTTAAAAAAGAGGCTCTGAAAAACTATATGATTATTAAATGAAAATCCCAATGCCTGAGATGGGTTCTCCCTCCTGTGAGCTTTTGGCCAGGGAGGTTCCCCAAAAAGATAAGGGCTGTAGCCACTAGTGTTGGTTGCAGTCCAGAACTAGACGGTCAAACCCTACTGCTAAAGACTGTGCATGATGTGAGCTTGAGAATGGGAGAAATCAAGCTAGGACTAGGCTGGAAGCTCCCCAGAGCTGGATGGCTGGCCTTCATAGTGCCCGGAGGCACTATGCAGATCGCTGGGGGAGAATTGTCCCTAATAGTTCTGCTTAAACGGACCCTGCATGCTGCACTATCAACATGCCAGCAAAGTGTGCCTGCTGGTGCAATAGTGACACGATTGGTATAAGTACAACTTTCAAATTTCCAATTGGATTCAATGACTGCTCCTCAGGGAGGAAGAGACATCTGATATTGCAAGCCAGGCCAACCTCTGGTGTCAGGGGAAGTTATAGGCCCCAGTGGGGAAGCTACTACAATTGTTTTGTTGAAAGATGTGGTGCACCTGCTAAGGTGCCTTCCAAGCATTTGTAAGAAAAGCATGCCTACAAAACCGATAAATTCTTGGTACCTGACAATTTTGAGTTACTTTCTACTAAAGTAGAAATATTATTTGGTACACTGAAAGTGGACATTCTGTTAGGAAGGAGCTCAAAATGATAGTGAGTTGTTATCTGATTTTCTTTGTAATTTTTACTTCCTCAAAGTAAAATCTGACAAAGTATCAAGCTAATAACACACATCAAATTATTATCCACCAGTTGAATGAAAAGAATTCATATACTAAAGACCAAGATTTCCCAGAAGAAAAGCTAGCCATTCGTAAGATAGCAGCTATAAAATCAAACTGCCAAAAAATACTTCAGAATGATAACTTACTTCAAATATGCAAAACATCAAGTGAAATGTTCTGTGGTGTATGAATAATGGGAGACACAGAGAAAACACTTAGTCAATTTAAAGAATGTGAAACTTCCATGATTCAAGTGTCTGATTCAGGCCAATCAGGTGACTCACCTGATGGAGATCTTTGCATCCAACCTAGAAAATTTGAGCTGCATCTCCAGAACCCACATGGTAGACCAAGTGTATCAACTTCCGCACATTGTCCTTGGACCTCCACGAGTGCACCTTGGCATGTGCACACAAAACACAAAAACTAAATGTGAATACATGTAAGATTATCAATGTCCGTATTCCTTATCTGCTGCCTTTATCTCTTTAGCCATACAGTGTTCTTGATTACTTGAAATATAGGTGCAGAGATATACATCATTTGTAAATGCTATATTGAGATATAGGGAAGAAAAAAATTAGACGCAGATCCCTTTTTCAAAAATTTATTTTTCGGAGACACGGTCTCCCTCTAGTCCCAGCTGACTTGGAACTCACTGTGTAGAAAAGGATGGCCTTAAGTTCCCGATAGCTGCCTGCCTCTGCCTCCCAAGCATTGGGATTAAACATATGTGCCATAACGTTGAGCCTCACATGTTTAATTTTTATCTTATGTGTATGGAGAGTTTTGCTGCTTATTCAAGGAACTGAATGTGAAATTAAGGTTCAGGTCAGGTAGGAGGTATGGGTAAGCAGTTACAACAAAGCCAATGATTTTGATGAATGTATGGACATTTGTGGCTTTCCTAAAAATAAAATGAGTGTAATTTTATAGCAGTTTGTGACCCAGTTGAAGATGTTATCCATTTTCCTTGTATGTAGATGTGTCCTTAGAAGTTAGTACACATGCGTGATGAGAAGTACAAATTTCGGAGAGTATCTCCTGAAATGTGATAGTCCTGGAAGTAGTTATTACTACTGGATAGCGGCCATTACCTCCAATCCAAAATGCTGTAAAATTTTTTCTGTAAATCATTCTAAGAACAGATCAGTAATTTAAGAATGCTTATTTCTGTGCAGACATATAATTAAGCATCTTCCCAAAAATATAGAGTTGTACTTCACCAAGGTTTGGTGTAATGTGCTCTTAATTTAATTTTTAAATTTCTTTTTATTTAATGTGTATTAGTGCTTTGCCCACATGTATGTGTCCCATGTGCATGCAATGCCTACAGAGGCCAGGAGAGGGCATCAAATACCCTGAAACTGCACTTAAAGACATTTGTAAATCACCAGTGGTTCTGGGTAGCAGCCAGTAAGTGGCACTTTGGGTGATCCCAAGCTGATCTATTGGTCAAGATCAGTTCCTGGTCCTCTTGGCCATAAAAAACTTCTAATGCCACCCTCAGCAGGTCTGGGGGGTGGAGTGGGCTGTTTTCAAGCTGCTTGAGCTTTTTAAAACTATATGGGATCCACTGGGCTATGAAGTGGGACTTTAGAACCAGAATGCCTCCTGAAGAGTTAGAATCTAAGCATATCTGCTGAAGGTGTGTCTTAGTCAAGCATCCCAGAAACTTTGCCGAGTTTTCACTGGAGCCCTGGGTAATGCTGCTGTTTGTCAAAATTAAGTACGTTGTGAGCAACCTGCAGGAACTCGACCAGGAGGCAGCCAACCATCCAGTCCCTTGATATTCTCTAAAGGGAAAGGGGGTGGGCCAGCAGTGGAGGGGGGCTTGATATACCCAGTTGAGGTCCTCTCTAGGGACTGCCATCCCCACAAGGTAGGTAGGGTCTATAACATGAACCTGGTCAGCATGGGCCTGAGCAGGAACCCAGACATGTTCTCACTCATCAGGGATTAAAATAGTGTATGTCAGGTTTGGGGAAGGTGGTGAAATTCTTTAGTCTAAGTAAGTGGATCGGTGGTGAAGGAACCTAAGTGCTGTTCAAGCTGGGAGAGATCAAGCACAGTAAAAGGGATCTGGACACAAATCTCTCCAACCCCGAACACCTCACACCTCGCACAAATCACAAAAACCAACAGAGTGCAGGTCTTCCAGTAAGTGAGTGCGCTGGGGGGAGGGGAGTGGGGAAGAAGGAGGGGAAGGAGCAGGCAGGGCAGTGGGAGTGTGGAACTGAGCCAGAGGTGGAGGAGCTGGGGAGCAGGCAGGTCCAATCAGTCAATGGCTTGAGAGTCAAAAGCAGATAGGGAAAGCGGACAACTGAGTTTGAGCACAATCTGGTGAGTGTGGGAAGCAGCACAAAGGGAGAGAAAAGACCTGAGGGCAAAGAAAACGTGGATATAGGGGACCTCAGACTACTTTCCCATGCGATGGCAGAAATGGTCAGAGTCAGCAATTGTAGTGTGGCAAGCCATGTTGCAGTAAAAATGGCAAAGCTTAATGTCACCTTGGAGTCCCAGAAGTTGCAGATTCTTAAGGAGAGAGGCCAGAGGAGGGATGGGGAACTGAGGAGAGACAACAGAGAAAGGAGAAAAGGCAAGCTGCAGGAGGAAGAAAGGAATGAAAGGGTGAAAGTGTCCCAGTACCGAGGGCCCGCAGCACAGTGTGTCCCCAAGGCTCCAGACACCGGAGATTCAACGTGTCCCATGGTATTGAGAAGGAGTACCTTGTCAAGGCTGGGGAGCACCCACTCTCAGGGGTTGGGGTGAACAGAGCCTGGCATGCTGGCACCACTTTAGAGAGAGAGCAATACCCGAGATTGGGCCAACCCGAGTGTGGACACTTACTGAAGGAAGAAGGAAGGGCAAAGGAAGAAGGAAGTAGGACGTCCAGAGCCAAGGCCAAAATGGTGGGCCAGGAGCAGGTGGGTCGTCTGAGGCCCTCAGAGGGTCTGGACAGAGGATGAGTGGTCAGTTCAAGGAAGGAGGGCCTGAGGTGCCTCCTTCTGGGTTTTAGCACCATCTGTTAGGTTTGTGAAAAGATCAGGACCACTGAGACTACTCTGAGGGAGAAAGGAAGAAATTTCTTGGGATGGACAAGCTGCCGGGCTGCTCCCACAGGAGGAATGGATCAGCAGTTTTTTGTCACAGAGGCTAGATTTTATAGGATTTTTTTTCCTTTTGTCGATAGGGGGAGGTGGAAATATAGCAGGAGTGCTATAGGAGTCAGTAGCAGGTGCCTTGGTAAGGGTAGGTCAGTTAGATGTTCTGTTTTTCACTTGGCTGGGATGGGAAATTCCTGTTATGATCAGGGTGCATTGTTAAAGCAAAGGTCAACTGGTTACTGAGAAACTGGGATGGTTTCATTTCTGTTTCCTGGAATGCTGCCCACCAGGTTGTGGTTGCCATGTTGCTGGTCAGTAGTAGGGCCCATCTTGGAGCCCTGTTCTGCCCAACAGAAACAATAATAAAAATAATAAAAATGCTCTCTGCTTCCTGAGAGTGCATGAAGATGTGAGAGTTCTCAGCCTTCTGCCCCTCTGCCTCCTCTGCTGCCTCCCCCACCTTGAGGGACTCTCATGAAGTTGCTCAGAACTGTAATCCCAAATGA